CATTAAGAACAGCACAACTTTGCTTCACATAATAGGTACCCTAGGGCAAGGTCATAACTTTAGCAATATTGGCTAGACAGGACTGAAAATGTTGATTGGTCATAGACTCCGCTCCATATATATCTCCAATGACACAGGTTTCAGTTGGTAATATTAATGGCATTTCTTTTTGGGGTTCTACTACTCAATGTTAAAATTCTGCCTCAATTTATGATTATCCCAAACTGCCACTCAAAAAAGATTCTATCCTATGAGTAGATACTTGAACTGGAATTTTTATTCATAAGTATAAACAATGACTCTGTGCCACTGCTCTACTAAATCATGGAATGTACAAGTTTTGTGTGTTGTACTTTTGCCTCTTGATGAAGTTTTTCCTTGCCAAGAACAGCTCTTAAATTGTTAAGATGATAAGTAATATATTTGTGATATTTATCCCACCTGACATTTCATCGTGGGATATTTTATAGGATAGATCAAATTTAGTACAATAAAATAATGGAAATGTTCACAATCTAGGGGATCTAATTATTATGGCATAGAGTTAAAGGTTTCATTTGCCATTAAACAAATTCTATTATCTCAATTATCACTTATACTGTGGAGAACAATTTCCTTTTCTAATAATTCTCTCATTCCCTGAAAACAACTGCAATCCCAACCTATTGTAACTACCTGAAGTTAAGGTTAGATTTACAGTCCCAATCAACAAGATAATCCTCATTTCAGATGCCAGTATGGTCCCCAAGCTTCTGTTCAACTTTATTAAAAATCAGAAGTGCTAAGAGCCAATGTCCCTTACAATTGATGATTCACCAGAACAATTCAGAAGACTCAGGAAAACCTTACACTTACAATTACCATCTATAATCAAGTATGATCATCAATTATAAACAAGGATGTAACACAGAAGCAGGGCATCAGTGGCTCATACCTAAATCCTAGCTAGTCAATGGGCTGAATTTGTTGGATTCTGGTTCAAGGCTAGCCCAGGTACTAAAGTTTGCCAGACTTTTTCTTCAAAATCACCAGCAAAAAGCCAGGCTGGATATGTGGCTCAAGTGATAGAGCATCAATCTAACTAGTGCCAGGCTCTTAGTTCAAACCCCAGTACTACCATAATTTTTTTTTCGAAAAGATACAACACAGAAATGGCCAAATGGATAAGCGGGCAATCAATCTTGAAGGGAAGACGGTCCTCGTTCTTTGGGACCACCAACCTCCCAACACTTCCATAGGTCTTACCAACACCAAGATTCCTGAACCTTATGGTTCAAGAGTCATTTGAATCATCGAGCTTTTATTTCTTAGATGTACTTGACTGAATCAACCATGGGTCACTGGAGACTGAACTTTTCAACCTGGTTCCCCTCTCCAGAGACTGGGGAGGAGGGGAACCCTTTAAATTCTAATCGGCTAATCATATGTATGTCCAGTTCTCCCACTGAAACTCTTTATGTAGGTTAAACTCAAATATAACAAGGGACTCATTATGAATAACCTAAAAACAAATCTAGTCACTCAGGATATTCCAAGGGTTTTAGGAACTCTATGCCAGGATCAGGGATATGTCTGGAAAAGTCACAATTACTGCCCCGACAGCATATTGTATCTAAATAATACTACTTTGTTCACTACTATGTAGCCTGTTTTTTTAAATTAAAAAATACAACATTTTAATCTTCCAAATGTATTTTAGCATCTCAAAGAATGTGATTAAACACATTAAGCCTGAAACTTCAAAGTACACAACGTTTTAAGTCAGAACTAGGAAGAAGTGGGATTGTTGAGAATAATCTTTTTTTAAAAAGAGCAAAATTTAAATTTTAGATGTATTCTATTTTCTATTGTTCTCAAAAATAATTTTATTTCTAGTTTTAAGGGAATAGAATTAAGCCAAAAGCAATAAAGAATGAAAAAAATTCTGTCAGAATTTTTTGTTCTTTAAAATGCCTAAACATTTTAATGATGAAATACAGAAAAAGATACAGTATAAAAACATCTTGAAATATCATGACAAAGGTTTGATCATCACTGATGGATAACCTGTGTGCATTTGTATAATGTATTTATGGAACTTCAATCTTTATTTATTTGTGCTTATAATTTATGCATCTACTAAGGTCATCAAAAATACATAAGGAGGTAGCAATGTCAGAATGTTCAGCTTCAGGGAATATATATCCATGTTTTGTTGCAAATATACTATACTAACCTGAAAGAAATATCATAATGCTCTTTTGTTAGTAATCTCCCTTCTGATGATTTTTATTATTATTTTTTATTTTTTAATGCTGGCCCTGAGGCTTGAATGCAGGAACTGGATACTGTTCTTTAGCTAGTGCCCAACCACTTGCGTCATGGCTCCATAGCTCCACATCAGGCTTTTTGGTGGTTAATTGAAGACAAGAGTCTCACAGACTTTCTGGCCCATGCTGCCTTCAAATAACTAACCTCAGATCTTGGCCTCCTGAGTAGGTAGGATTACAGGTATGAAACAGTAGTACCCAGCTCCCATACTTTTCAATAAAGGCTTTTGTGAAAACAAAGATACAGTACTTTTAGTATAAACTAATTAGAATATTCATACTTATTTAATACTGCACTCAACACTTTCCCAATTTAACCATATTTTGCATATAGTTAATTTTTTAATGAACCTTTCAGGAGATAATAGAAATATCCCTTAACCAAAGGAGATAAATGTGTACAAGCTTGTATTCTTAAGAACAGTATCAACTTTAGTGTCATAATGTGTTTCCAGTATTTTTTTCCATTTCCTTTTTGTGCTGGTTCTGGGGCTTCATTTCAGAACCCTTAATAGAAGATAAGAGTCCTACGGACTTTCTTGCCTAGGCTGGCTTGTAACCTCAATCATCAGATCTCAGCCTCCCAAATAGTTGGATTACTAGTCTGGCCTACTAACACCCAGCTCTAACTTTGAATTCAACACAATGAATACCAGGAAGTAGAAACCTCTGTGTGTGTGTGTGTGTGTGTGTGTGTGTGTGTGTGTAAGAGAGAAAGAGGGGGAGAGAGAGAAAGAGAGAGAGATTAGATCAAGGGGAGGGGGCAGAGGAATGGAGGAAGAAGGGTGGGTATATGAAGTCATACTATTCAATGTACATATGTGAAATGAAACCAGGTAAATTGAGAGGATAAGTAGGGTTGGGAGAGATAGGGGAGAATGATGGAAGGGGTAACACTGATCAAGATTACTTGTTCTTACAAACTGACATGTTGAATTGAAACCCTTTTGTGCAAGTACTTAAATAATAAAATGAAGTATAGCTTAGTATATTGACATCATGTCTTAGGACTTTGACTAGTTTTTAGAGATGTATCAAAGGTAGCTTGAGGTAAAAGGGTGATCATTGATTACCATAGATAGTTTCTGTTGAAATCTAAAGACAGGGATTAAGAGAGACATCAGAAAGCAATGGAAATCAAATAGGGTCTCTTTTTTTCCCTAGAGTATGTTGGCATTGATTTCCACGCTGAGAAATCTACTGCAGATTTCTGAACTCCAGAACTGTAAGATGATGCATTCCCTTCAAAGCAACTGTTTGTGACCATTTGTCATCACCATAGGAGGACATTAATACAGACATAATACATCCATTTTATCACAGTCGTGGCAATATTCAAACTTTAGAATTATCTAGTTAGTTTACATTTCTCTGGCAGCATCAAGAACAAAAGGCCTATCAGGTAATACAAAAATGTAGCAAAAGATGCCATCTTATATCAGTTGTCAATCTCAGGCTTGTTAATTTGCTTTTTTACTTGTTTGTATATTTGTGAAGTCATTTGACATTTTAAATCCAACTAATTACTAATTACCATTTTTTATTATGAGACAAAGTATTGTTTCTAAAGTAAAAACAATGTTTGCCTCTGAATTCAGGCTTTACTTACCACTACTTGGTTGTGTGACTTCTGGTGAAATTGTGTTGACTTGTTGAGTCTATTGTCACAACATGAAAATTGAGTATCTCAATACTTATCACATTTTTATTTTATATTTGGCTATATGAAGTGTCAAATTCAACTGGCTCTTAGTAAATACTCAACAAGCATAAAATACTGTCTTCCTTCTTGATAATTCCTTTTGACTTTGGCTCTAAGTATAATAATCATAGTATTGTACTTACTTGTGTGTATAAAATATAAAACTTATTTATGTAGGATCATATCAGTGTTTTTTTTGAAATATAGGTTTTTTTCCTGACAAATATCCTTTAGATAAAAATTTAAGAAAGAGTATGCAGAGGTATGGGTATTTGCATAGCACAGGCCAGCATGGTGTTACCTTCAGGTGGAGATGTTAGATTTCTGAAGACAGAATACCAGAACTTTTTGCATTTGAAACTTTTGGTCTTCAGGCATTCAGCGTTTAGAGAAAGTAATTTGAAAAACTTGCTTCTTTATTTTTTACTTATAACTAACAGGGATCAAGATGCTTTGAACTCATAACTTCTTTGTTTAAATGGCAACTCTTGTGTACAGCTATGTAAAGATAATAACAATATTTTTTAACTGAATTTTTTAAAAAAGTTAAATGAAAGCATTCATTCCATGAAGGTTATACTACTTGGTTTTATAACATTTATTTATTTATTATTTTTTGTGGGAGTCTTGGGGCTGGAACTCAGGGCGTGGGTGCTGCCACTTGTGCTACTTGGTTTTATAATATTTATTTATTTGTTTGTTTGTTTATTGTGGGAGTCTTGGGGCTGGAACTCAGGGCCTGGGTGCTGCCACTTGTGCCACTTGTGACTACATTTTCTCTTTTGAGGGGAGATGAGTTGGAGATAAGAGTCTCATGGACTTCCCTTCCTGGACTGGCTTCAAACTTCAATCCTCAGATTTACTTCTCCTAAGTAAGATTACAGGCGTGAGTCACCAGGGCCCAGCCTACAACTTTTATTTTAATCTGTGGCCATTTGCTTACTTTTTTTCTCTGTTCATTCATCTATCAACAATAGAATAGAGCTTACCTTGAAGTGTGTTTGTGAGGATAGCATCTTGAACTCTGTGAAAAAATTAATATTCTGTTTTACACCTAAGTGTTTTTTTTACCAACTTTATAGCATTTAAATCATCATGTTCTTTTTCTTTCAGTACTGAGAGGTTGAGCACAGAATGTCCAATATGCTATAAAAGCAGTTGGTATTTGAGCCATGCCCCCAGTCCTTTCATTACTTTTTGTCTTTCAGATAAGGTCTTGCTAACTTTCCTACCATCTGTGATTACAGATGTGCACACCACATCATATCCTTTATTTTGGCACAATACTAGAATTTGAACTTGGGGCCCGGAGCCTCTGTTTGCTTGCTTGCTCTCTTGCGCTTAGCTGGTTCTCTACACCTTGAGTCACACTCTGGCCTGTTATTGAAGTTTCGTTTTGTTTCCTTTGAGACAGAGGTTTAGCTGTGTCAGACATGCTGGCCTTGAACTCCTGGGCTCAGTCTCCTTCTGAAATAGCTATGTGCCACAGCACCTTCCAATTTACAGATTCTGCATTGCATGTTCTAATTTTAGAATAGAATTTTGTATCTAAATGCAACTTTTTATTCAAAAAGTCTAAATTGTTGCATTTTTATACGTCTTATGCTTCCTCCACTGTCATGGAAAATACATGAAGTGGAAATTTATGAGAATTTGCGCCTGCTTCTTGGAATGAATCTATTTTTTATATCCCTTTAAAAGGACATTAGCTTTAACTCTTCACAATACTTTCTTCCCTGGAAATACTAAACTTTCTACTTACCTGGTGGATCTTCTTTTGGTTCAACATTACAGAGTCCAGTATTTTATTCAATGGAGGGTATTGATCAAAGGTCTGCCAACCATTATTGGGATTCTTCTCTAATTTCTAACTGTAGGCAGAAGGGGATGGAAATATTTTCATTTTTCTGCAACTTCATTCCCATCCTCCACGCATAATGAGGAACAGTAGTTTCAGGAGGCAGTCATATAAGAGGAAATTCTCTGTGTTGCTGAGAGGTTTCCTTTCCGTACTGTTGACCAGTAAGCAAAGCTCCTGTCCATGGTTTCCTTGTCAGAGACCTAGCGAGGGACGCTGCTGCACCAGCAAATATCATCTTATGTGCTCAACTCTGATGACCTCAGGGGACTTCATGCCCAGATTCTATGCTGAAATTGGATTTTTGTCAAGAGACTCAAAACTTATATCCTGTTCTCCTACTTCTCAGTTGAATTTTCTAGTTAGTTCATGACTAGTCACAGACTAGTTGTTATAGTCCTCAATTTGATCCCATCTGCCCTAGATTTTATAGGAACATTCCTGAAGTACAAGCTTCATGGCTTTGTTTGTTTGTTTGTTTGTTTGTTTGTGGTCGTGGAGTTTGAACTCTGGGCCTGGGCATTGTCCCTGAGCTCTTCAGCTCAAGGCTAGCGCTCTACTACCTGAACCACAGCACTAGTTCCGGTTTTCTGGTGTTTTATTAGAGATGAGGCTCATGAACTTTCTTGCCCGGGCTGGCTTTGAACTGCAATCCTCAGCTCTCAGCCTCCTGAGTACCTAGGATCACAGGTGTGAGCCATTGGTGCCCAGCTTCATAGTCTGTTTTTCTGGTATCTGACACTCAATGGTTTCTTTTTCATTTTTACCATGATTTACATTGTTTTTTGAGTTAACAGTTTGGGACTTACCAAGGGATATATGCAGATACATTCTTATCCTGAGGTAGGAAGTTACAGTATTTCTTTTTTTTTCTTAAGACCTTTACTTTCCTGAGCCCTGCCTGGCACAGTACCCAATGAATCCATATTTGACTCACATGATTAACTTAATAAACAATAAATCTTTATGAAAGAAATCATGTGCTTTATTTCTTGTTAATAACAGAAAACCCATATTCTTGAATTTGTTTTTAAATGGTCATACAACTAGTAAAGCCATATCACATAAATTTATTTAAGGTGCTATTTAATAATTGCATGAAAGTATTCATAGTACATATGACATCACAATAGAGTCAACAAACAGGTAGACACTTGTATATTAGAAATAAAAACGTTAACACCATTAAATTAGGTCTAGTACCTCAATCAGAGAAAATGTTTTGTTTGGTTTATTTTACCTTATTAGGTCTAAAAGATTCCCATTTTATTAATCACACATGTGTTTCCTCATGTTCTAAAATTCAAGTTCCATTTGCAACAAAGAATTTCCAGATGATTATGTCTATCGAATTTGTCTTCCTAAACGTATTAGTTAGCTGTAAACTAAATGTAATTTAAGGTTATGATACTGAATAATACTTTTGCATCCAATACGAGGGAGGGAAATCCTTGAGATTAATCCCAGAGCCTCCATGCTAAGCAAATGCTCCACCACTGAACCACATGCCCATCCCAGGATTAATATTTCTTTCAAGTTATAGGACTTTTGCAGAAAATCCTATATGCTCTCCCAGCTACCCAAAGAGTATACCTCTGGATCCTCTAACGCTTTTGGATAAAAATATTGATTTATATAGAGAAGTTATAGATGAACTCTGGTGTCTTCTTTCTTCCCATTCCCCAGTCCAGCATTTTGCTGGTTGATTGGAGATGGAATTTTGAGGACTTTTCTTCCCAGCTAGCTTTGAACCTTTTTTTTCCTTTTTTTTTGGTCCAAGTCCTTAGCTGGCTCTCATCTGAAACACACCTCCACTCCCTAGCTTTGAAACAATCCCCTAGTTCTCAGCCTCCTAAGTAGCTAGGATGACAGGTGTGAGCTACACTGGTACCTGGCTAAAAGTGATATTTTTAGGCAAGTTCTGCTACCCCAGCCAAGATTTTTTTTATTGTAAAGATACTATACAGAGGGTTACAGTTACATGAGTGAGGTAATGAGTACACTTCCTCTTGAACATTGTTACACCCTCCATTGTTTTCCCCCTACCATCCCCTCCCTCCCTCCCTTCCCCGAGGTTCTTTTTTTTTTTATTGTGATTAAGTGATTACATAATTTCCGGAATTTCACAGTATTGTGGAATAATGATGCTCATTTAAAGTCACAAGTTCATTCTAACTTTCCTGGAGCAAATTGTCTATCACAGTCTGTAATGTATAACGGTGTTCACATGTTATATATCATATATGTGATCCGCAGCATGGGGATATTTAGTAGTGGTTCAACCAGATGAGTGGGAGTTCTCTGTTTCTTAAGTCCTGTTAGTTTTGTCATATCACCTAACATTTTGGATTTAGCATCCACTTATCAGGGAGACCATGTACCGTTTGTCTCTTCGTTCTTGGCTTACCTCGCTCAACATGATTCCTTCTAGCTCCATCCATTTCCCT